CATGAGACACTTTTACACATTTCTAAAACAATCTGACCCTATTGTACTTAAGAGAGACTCCGACACTGAGAGTTGTGAAGTAGTGTTGTTGTGCGAAGAGATTCACCAGGAGATTTCTCAATATGTATTCAACCCAGCTGTTATTATTCTCCATAGGTACAAAAAGACTTGTTGGAAGCCTTGGTTTTAAACAGTTATCTTATCATGTAAATGCTGAGAATAGACATAGTAAAGTAGGTTGGCTACAGATACTCCCTTTGAGGTACATCAACATTACAACACATACAGTACAGCAGCTACAAATGGAATACAGCATTTCAAAATGGTGACGGTGGGGGGTCCTCGCATTCCTATTGGACCTTACCGGCCCAAGATTCTATATAGAAAAAACCCTCTCTGTCTCCTGATACGATTCAAAGCCAGAGTGTATAGGGGGATGGAGGGAGGTGACTAATAAGGAGCTGTGGCAGAGGACGTTACTTCCGGAAGCCGCCACAATGTGCAGCCGCCGACACCTGTTACCCAGCATGCCCCTAAAAGGAGAGAGAAGAGCCAATCGGAATGCGGCTACCACCCGCCTGCTGCCCCAGGCTGTCCCCAAGACCCGTTGAGCCAAGCGGACGGAGAGAGAGGAGGTTCTGGACACTGATTGTTATCCCCCCTCCTCTCTCCTCTCTCTTGGCTTCCAACCCCCCCACTCCTCTCTCTCTCTCTCTCTCTCTCTCTCTCTCTCTCTCTCCTCTCTCTCTCTCTCTCTCTCTCTCTCTCTCTCACTACCCCCCCCCCCCCCCTCTCTTAACTTCTAACCCCCCCTCCTACCCTCTGTCACTCTCTTTGCCCCCTCCTCTCAGCTGTCTGGCATATTTTTGGGTCCTCACTCTCAAACATACCACAACGGCTCTTGGCTGGCAAATATACACAGACAATATCCCACCACAGACACTATCCCACCACAGACACTATCCCACCACAGGCCCTATCCCACCACAGGCACTACCCCACCACAGGCACTACCCCACCACAGGCACTACCCGCAGACCGCCCTAGGGGGTCTAAAGTTACACCCCCACGCCCTCTCCCTCTTCTGACAGACACCCCATATCTGAGCTTAGTCATATTAACGTGACTGTCTCACTGGGTCATGGATAGGAGGACAGTTTCAGTGAATGGAGCTGAGATTTCAAGCTTCAAGTTTCAGTTATGCTTTGTCAATAGAATACAGTGTCTGTGTTAAGTTGTGACTTCAGTATTTCACTCCGTGTTGGGATGAGATGACAGCCAGTAGGGAGTCAGTCATGATTGACGTGAATAAATAATGGTTTGGTTGTCTGTTATGAGCCAAAAGGTGCAGGAGAGGGTAAACAAATCATGCCATTCATCAACATGATAACAGACCTGACATATAAACAAGCTTCTGTCATATCCAGTAGGCTATTTGAGACATATGTTTATATACAAAATAAAAACATCAACACTCTCAATGTATGCGTTAGTCATTTATAATAATTATCAATATGCAAATGAATATGCAAATTATGTAAAACATTGAGATGAATTGTGTGTCCCGTTCCCTTTCTTTCACTTCCTTTTTCTCTCCTATATAACACAATAAAGAACAGGCTCAAATCTGATACAACAATACATTATTTTAGCTCCACCAATAGCAAGGGCCAGAAATTCCATGACAGTTTTAATGCATCTGAATATGGTCACGAGTTGTCTGAGCTAATCACAGGTCTTCAAAAGTATGTCTGTTAACACCTACTTCATCATGACACAACTATTAATCAACCATAACACTAGAATGGAAAAAATCTAGAAATAATCCCTTTCAGTTCACTCTGCCAACCAATCCTTATTTCTGTACCAGCCAGGCAGTCAGGGGCGGCACTAGAACCCTCCATCTCCTAGGTAACAACACTCCATTTTAGATGGAGTCCCGTCACAAAGAAGGCCCTGAGTGACATAGGATACACTTTCTAGTGAACCGTTATCTAGCAGCTCTTATTTGGGCTTATGTGAACTCCTGGTCCCGCCCACCAGCCCCAGGCCCCCGGCCACCGGCCCCGGGACAAGGGGGCATATTTAAGGGACACCTCTCACCCTCACCCTTTGTCCCAGTGGAATCTCCAGTCTTGGTGTACAACTTGGTGAGTGTCTTCTTTCTGCTATTGTTCCTGTTCCAGTACTGTCTATAGCACTGGTTCTCTATTGGACTCAGTACTGTCTATAACACTGGTTCTCTATTGGACTCAGTACTGTCTATAACACTGGTTCTCTATTGGACTCAGTACTGTCTATAGCACTGGTTCTCTATTGGACTCAGTACTGTCTATAACACTGGTTCTCTATTGGACTCAGTACTGTCTATAACACTGGTTCTCTATTGGACTCAGTACTGTCTATAACACTGGTTCTCTATTGGACTCAGTACTGTCTGTAACACTGGTTCTCTATTGGACTCAGTACTGTCTATAGCACTGGTTCTCTATTGGACTCAGTACTGTCTATAACACTGGTTCTCTATTGGACTCAGTACTGTCTATAACACTGGTTCTCGATTGGACTCAGTACTGTATATAGCACTGGTTCTCTATTGGACTCAGTACTGCCCTGTGCCTGTAGAATATGTATTTCTCTATTGGACTACCACTACTTCAGACAGACGACAGAGAGAGGGGAGATGAGGGTGGCTAGATGACTTGGTGGTGCTAGGAAGGATTCACACTTTTGTCAGCTACTCTGGGGAAGCATCGTGCCACTGTGTTGTTGTCGTTTTGGAAAGGGAAGAAGGACCAGGATCTTGGTTTAACAGCCGGGAGCTGCTGCTGTGGTTGAAAGAGTGGGCACATCAAGCACATCACCACATGTAGAGATAACGCCTACAATGGATGTCTGTCTACTTCTAATTGGCTTTTAGAGAACTATTTTTTGAGGTTGTTGAGAGAAGGAATAAAGTGTGGAGCAAGAAAGAGAGCTGGAGAGAAAGAGAGCTGGAGAGAAAGAGAGCTGGAGAGAAAGAGAGCTGGAGAGAAAGAGAGCTGGAGAGAAAGAGAGCTGGAGAGAAAGAGAGCTGGAAAGAAAGAGAGCTGGAGAGAAAGAGAGCTGGAAAGAAAGAGAGCTGAAGAAAAAGAGAGCTGGAGAGAAAGAGAGCTGAAATGAGATGAATGGGGAGACAGGGAGATAGAGGGACAGATACAGTACATGCAGTTCAGCAGTCTGCAGCAGCCAGGCTTGTTGTGATTGATTGACAGACCATGCTGGTGGCAGCTCGTGTGAACAGTGACCTGTGGCTCTGGTGGGTTAACCAGGGGGTCAGACAGAGGAACAGAGCGCCCGCTGTGGAGCGCCAGGCCTCCCGACCTCTGACCACTGGCCAGGGCTACTAATGAAGGGAGCTGTCATGCCAGGGCTGGCTGGTTTGGAGGGGGACGGATGGATGAAGCGATGGAAAGATACAGCAAGAGGATAATGGATTGAGGAATGGAGGGATAGAGGGAGAAGGGGATGTATGGAAAGGTGGACTGGAGGAACATAAATACATGCTCTGAAGGGAGCTGTCAGCCCATGGCTGGCTGAAGAGAGGGATGGAGAGGGACAGTAACAGGGGTATGGAGGGATGGAGAGGGACAGTAACAGGGGTATGGAGGGATAGATAGAGAGAAGCAGGGAGGGATAGAGGGACAGTAACAGGGGTATGGAGGGATAGATAGAGGGAAGCAGGGAGGGATAGAGGGACAGTAACAGGGGTATGGAGGGATAGATAGAGGGAAGCAGGGAGGGATAGAGGGACAGTAACAGGGGTATGGAGGGATAGATAGAGGGAAGCAGGGAGGGATAGATGGACAGTAACAGGGGTATGGAGGGATAGATAGAGGGAAGCAGGGAGGGATAGAGGGACAGTAACAGGGGTATGGAGGGATAGATAGAGGGAAGCAGGGAGGGATAGAGGGACAGTAACAGGGGTATGGAGGGATAGATAGAGGGAAGCAGGGAGGGATAGAGGGACAGTAACAGGGGTATGGAGGGATGGAGAGGGACAGTAACAGGGGTATGGAGGGATAGATAGAGGGAAGCAGGGAGGGATAGATGGACAGTAACAGGGGTATGGAGGGATAGATAGAGGGAAGCAGGGAGGGATAGAGGGACAGTAACAGGGGTATGGAGGGATAGATAGAGGGAAGCAGGGAGGGATAGATGGACAGTAACAGGGGTATGGAGGGATAGATTATGAGGAGGTTGGGTGGATGAATAGAGGGACAGAAACACATGCTCTCCAGCTCCCCTACAAAGCACACAGGAGTTACTATTGTGCCGACAGTTACTTGGCCACCACTGTTACTTGTCAACAGACAAGCTACTTCAACTGTGACATAGCTCTGTTAGAGATAGGGGAGGATTGAGGAGGATGAGGAGTGGGGGGGGGGGGGGGGGGGGGGGGGGGGGTTAGTGTTCCGTATGGCTGCTGTTTGGAATGACAAGGGCCAGGGCTAAGAATAGAGACGGGGGTGTGGGTGGGCTCTACTATGTCCCTGTTTGGCTTTACAGGGCAGCTCTGACAAAGAGGGAGAAGATAGGCTATCAGTGGCCCCTAAGAGGACTAGGTTATTTCAACAACACTTTTGAAAAGTTATTTCTAGGAACATTTTAAACATTTGCACTTTAAAATACTGAAATTATGACAACATAAAAAAACAATATCATGACAATAGGCAGTGCAGTACTGTTTATATAACACAATATGATAATATATTAATTCACCAGTCACCTCCTTGGAGGATGTCTTTAATGTAACTGATATCTAAATGTAGCTATAGTGCATAAATGTAACTGTTAATGCATAGTGGTAGCCTCAAGTCCAGTGATAAGCTAATGTACAGGGTGTTCTGTATAACATTATATAGATAAACTATGTTTATCACAGTGTTAACGCGCTCAGACAGAGCTCTTACCGCCGTGTCTCTCCTCCCAACAGAAAGCCATCCGAAACAAGACCAATCATGTGTGACGACGACGAAACTACAGCCCTCGTGTGCGACAACGGCTCTGGCCTAGTCAAGGCTGGGTTCGCCGGTGATGATGCTCCCCGCGCTGTGTTCCCATCAATCGTTGGACGCCCCCGTCACCAGGTATGCTACTTAAGAGAAACAACGGATAGCCGTTGGCCGTTACTAACGGATTTGTTTGTTTGTTTACTTATGTCATGACGTAAAAGTTACTAGGCTATATCCAGATAATGTAGTGTAGATTACGTTTGTAGCGTTGCGTTGGTAATGAGACGCACGTCTAGCCATGCGTAAAGTGTGCGTAAAGTTCAATTCATGTGTTGTGCATATTGCGAACTCTCCTGACCCTTGTTTGCTCTCTATACAGGGCGTGATGGTGGGTATGGGACAGAAGGACAGCTATGTGGGAGACGAGGCTCAGAGCAAGAGAGGTATCCTGACTCTGAAGTACCCCATCGAACACGGCATCATCACCAACTGGGACGACATGGAGAAGGTGGGTCCCAGAGCCAAGATGCTAGTAGTGATATTGGACACTTGTGAATGATTGTAAGATGATAAAAGCAGAACTTCATATCTCAAGATACACATATACTTAGAGACAATAAGCTAATGACACTTAGGATACTATCCAATATGATGCTAATAGCCTTATGAAAGTTAAGAATATGATGATATTTCCACACACATAACACATCGATATTAAAACGTATTAAAACAAAAAAAAAGGAACATAGGAAATATTTTATGGCTACATTATGCAAAACAACATGACTTCAACGGGACAGCTAAATCTTTCTCTATCTCACAATGTATTATTTTCTCCAGAACATCTCTGACCATCTCTCTCCTCCTCATTCCACCAGATCTGGCACCACACCTTTTACAACGAGCTGCGTGTGGCCCCTGAGGAGCACCCCACCCTGCTCACTGAGGCCCCCCTCAACCCCAAGGCCAACAGGGAGAAGATGACCCAGATCATGTTTGAGACCTTCAACGTCCCCGCCATGTACGTGGCCATCCAGGCCGTGCTGTCCCTCTACGCTTCCGGTCGTACCACCGGTGAGTTTCCACAGGACTTCTGACTGATCACATTACCAATACCACAATACTATATACACAATAAACAAATGGTATAATGCTACAGACACAATATTTCCTACTCCTATGAAGACATGCTTTGACATTAAGAAGTGCTGCTTGCATTACTACCCATAATACCCATTAGACACTGGGTGGTTTGAGCCCTGAATTCTGATTGGCTGAAAGCCATGTTATATCAGACTGTATACCACGGGTATGACAAAATCATTTCGTTTTACTGCTCTAATTACGTTGGTAACCAGTTTATAATAGCAATAAGGCTCCTCTGGGGTTTGTGGTATATGGCCAATAAGGGGCGTTGCGTCGTGCCTAAGAACAGCCCTTAGCCGTGGTATATTGGCCATATACCACACCTCCTTGGGCCTTACTGCTTAATTAGACACTATAGGGATAGTGATCCATTGCAGTCTCACAAGACATCCAACCACAAGCTATACACGAAGAGCAGCAGGTCTGTGGTCTGTCTCCATCCTCGGCTGATGATCCATCTCCTCTCTAGGTATCGTGCTGGACTCTGGTGATGGTGTGACCCACAACGTGCCCATCTATGAGGGTTATGCTCTGCCCCACGCCATCATGCGTCTGGATCTGGCCGGTCGCGACCTCACTGACTACCTGATGAAGATCCTGACTGAGCGTGGCTACTCCTTCGTGACCACTGGTAAGATGGCCACCAAGAACCAAGATTTCTATACACAGGATTAGTTTAACGTTATACAGAGACAAGATGAGAGAACATGATCTTGGTAAACTAAAATATAAGCCTATCTATGATAAGTTATTTAGTATACTAGGATTCAACTAACATCAAGATACTTAGCTATTCTTCATCTTGGTGTTATAGAGAGAAAATACCACAGATTATTAGAAGATATAGGGCTAATCTGTATAGTATGGTATGACTATAGTCCCCACCAAGAAACCATTAGTATGCTTGTGGTGTTCATGACTGTTAAAAGGGGAAATCGCTGTTGTATATTTGTGTAGTTAGAGAGGACTGTGTCCAGTGTGTCTGGTATCTTACTGTAGTAGATGGTACCTGTAGACATCTATGATGCTCTATGTAGCGTGTATGGGGCTCTATGTAGCACCTATGAGGCTCTATGTAGCAAATATGAGGCTCTATGTAGCGTATATGGGGATCTATGTAGCACCTATGAGGCTCTATGTAGCGTCTGAGGCTCTATGTAGTGTCTATGAGGCTCTATGTAGTGTCTATGAGGCTCTATGTAGTGTGTATAAGGCTCAATGTAGCATCTATGAGGCTCTATGTAGCCTTTATGTAGCATCTAATGTTGGACTCTGAATCTCCTGCTACAGCCGAGCGTGAGATCGTGCGTGACATCAAGGAGAAGCTGTGCTACGTGGCCCTGGACTTTGAGAATGAGATGGCCACCGCTGCCTCCTCCTCCTCTCTGGAGAAGAGCTATGAGCTGCCCGACGGTCAGGTCATCACCATTGGTAACGAGCGTTTCCGTTGCCCAGAGACTCTCTTCCAGCCTTCCTTCATTGGTGCGTATTCCTCTCTCTCTCTCTCTCTCTGTACCTCTGGTTCATCTACAGTAGACCATGTTCACCTTACCATGTTCCTCTCCACACACTTACTTCCACATTTGACTCCATGTTGCCATACATCACGTGTCAATCTCATTCCACGGAGGGCCGAGTGTCTGCGGGTTTTCGATCCTCCCTTGTACTTGAATTAAGGTCACTAATTAGTAAGGAACTCCCCACAGCTGGTTGTCTAGGGCATAATTGAAAGGAAAGACCAAAAACCTGCAGACACTAGGCCCTCCATGGAATAGGTTTGACACCCCTGCCATACATGTTACAACACTGCCCTCTAGTGTCCTCATGGACATTGCCATTATGTTACAGTGACAGAGTCACACACAGCCATTTACTGGAAGCATAATCTATCTATTCTTTACGTGTCTAACTCCTGTTGGTCACCTACGTCCTGTCTGTGGAGGTGTCGTTGCTCACCAAGTGTCTCTTCTCATCTCACCTGCTCAGGTATGGAGTCCGCTGGTATCCATGAGACCGCCTACAACAGCATCATGAAGTGTGACATTGACATCCGTAAGGACCTGTACGCCAACAACGTCCTGTCCGGCGGTACCACCATGTACCCTGGTATTGCTGACCGTATGCAGAAGGAGATCACCGCCCTGGCCCCCAGCACTATGAAGATCAAGGTGGGGGAACACGTCTATTCAACACAGGAGGAACTCTGTTCCAAATGTCCACCGGGGTTGGAGTCAATTCTATTTCAATTCTCTTCTATGCTTTTCACCTAGGAGGGGGTGAAAATGTGGAGTTGATATTGGAATTTGGTGTACTTTCTGAATTGACTGGAATTTAAATGGATTTGACCCCAACCCTGATGTCCACACTAGGGTACGACTTATAAATGAAGCCATGTCTTGGGCATGTATTCTATGTGGTATGTTAGTATGGACACTGGAACATTGATTATTTCCAACAATGTCAGAGCCGTGGATAGGCTGTAGGTCTACAGGAGTTGGCCCACTATCCTCCATGTTCAGCGAACTATCCTTCACTTTAAATAACAAACCAAGGTTGTCTAATACTGTACACCCACAACTCTGGTTGAAATCAGCAACACTGTCTGTCCGCTGTGCTAGAGGGCACACAGGACTTCTGAAGAGTTCTTAACTAACCCTCCACATCTCCTTCCATACACTCCACTACAATAACATGCTAAATTGCATTTAGACTAGAATGGCTAACTCTGTACACCCAAAGCTCTGATTCAAATAAGCAACACTTGTACACTACACTGAGCAGGAAAGGACCTTAGCCTCTGAGTTCTTAACCAACCCTTCACATCTCCTCTCCTCCACACCTTCTCTAGATCATCGCTCCCCCCGAGCGTAAGTACTCTGTCTGGATCGGTGGCTCCATCCTGGCCTCTCTCTCCACCTTCCAGCAGATGTGGATCAGCAAACAGGAGTACGACGAGGCAGGACCTTCCATCGTCCACCGGAAGTGCTTCTAAACATCCCATCTCCCCACACCTTTCCATACACATTCACCCTCCTTCTGTTGTCTGCCTTTGTACTGTTTACTGTATATACATGTTCTGTTGTAATAAAATAGTTGGCTGTAACATTAAGCACTGAGTTACTTTGTTGTTGGATGTTTGTTGTTGAGTTTGAGGGAACACACATTCAGAATACATAAAATAGTCAAAATGATAATGAAGATCAGACAACATTATCTTTTAACCAATCAGATCAGCTCTTTTGCCAACAATTTGGCTGCCTTTGTAAACACAGCCTAAGTGACATGAACTGTTGTAAATCATCAATCAACCACATGAGGAATCATAAGCATTGCTACCAAAACAAGATGACAGTAACAGTGGTGCCCATTGATTTCAACGATTCCAACCCTAGAATGTAAACCCACCATGACCCATTCCTGAAAGTTAGGCCACACCCTCTACATCACATTGTTGCCCTTTTCAGCAATCCACTGACAAGCAGTAGCCTTCATTTGGCCAGTTTACCTCATCTGAAATAATAGTCCAGGACCAGTTTGTCAAAAGGATCTTAAGGCTAAGTTAATCGTTAGAACCATACCCATGGTTCTAAGATTAATTTAGCCTTAAGATGCTTTTGGGAAAACGGGCCCAGGTTGGCTTGTATTTGACAGAAATACGTTTTTGAACGTGACATTACAGCGCCACCCTCGGTCTGATGAATGTATTGCATCTGCCAGAGAGAGGCGCTTAATTGAAGGGTGTGTTTTCAAAGTGCCACAGGTGATTCTGATGGCAATAATTACATAGCAGGAACAACTAGTGACTTTTCAGAATAGGCAGCAATCGTGTTGTTAAAATAGTTTGCCAGGCAGTTGCTGTTCAATTACGTTTAGGAAGACTGCTTCGTTTCCACTATTTGTTTTTCACCTGCAAAAAAGTGACAGAAATAAGAAGATTTCAGATAGGCCTAGTGAAGTGGTTCGGTTCTATATCTTGCAACATCTTGGTGTGGTTCATGGGGTAATGCTGAAAAACTGTCAGGAGAAGTAAGGGAGAAGGGGTACAGGTGAAACATAGGTGTTTGGAGTGCCGCTGGACAGTTTGCAATAGTGCTACAATTTAAGTGTACATTTTTTCAATAGACCAGTATACCTGATTTAAGTGACAAATGATTCACATCCATTTCAATTTAGAACCATAGGTTCTCTGGTGAAATATGCATAGATCATGGTAGCCCAAGATGTGGTCTTACAGAGCCTACCGTTACTCCTTAAGGTTCAAGGACTATGTTATTTTCAGAGGGAGACTGGCCAAATACTCCATCTAAACGTGAATTGTTTCTCAATTGCGATACGGTTTTAGAAACAAAGCCCTTTACTTTCAGTCGACAGTATTTTTCAGTGACAACCCGTTTCGGGGGATGCTAAGTAGCACAGGGTCCCTCTGTCTTCCGTAAACGTGCTGTAACATGGAGATATGGCCGTGTGGGAACACTAACCCTATAAAGGTGTGTATCAAATTTAATGTTTTGTTCTTTGAAAATTATTTCTCACTGATATAAACGATAAGATCCTTATGCTTCCAAAATTGTACCGCACGTGATGCTTGTTAATGTTCAGACCGAGCATCGGGGTTCTTAACAACTCCCGCATACAGAAGACAAATTTGTCCAATGACTCGTGTAATGGAACTGAGTCGTGATGATCAAGAGCTAGGGTCATGGCGGTTGGTCCACGGACATCAGCTAGGGTCATGGCGGTTGGTCCACGGACATCAGCTAGGGTCATGGCGGTTGGTCCACGGACATCAACTCAAACCTGTTGTCCGCTACATCTATTTCACAGGCCAAGCTGGACCCCCGGGAGGCCTGCCTATCCAAAGCCCTCCCTTGTGATGTGGCCAGCCTACTGAAGCTGGTCGGGAGCTTCCAGAACCTCTCATGCGTTTCCCAGATTGAGATGATGATGATGATTTTATATATATATATATATAGCTGCGGAAAAAATTAAGAGACCACTGCAAAATTCAGTTTCTCTGGTTTTACTATTTATAGGTATGTGTTTGGGTAAAAAAACATTTTTGTGTTTATTCTATAAACTACTGACATTTCTCCCAAATAAAAATATTGTCATTTAGAGCATTTATTTGCAGAAAATGAAAACTGGTCAAAATAACAAAAAATATGCAGTGTTGTCAGACCTCGAATAATGCAAAGAAAATAAGTTCATGTTCATTTTTAAACAACACAATGGTAATGTTTTAACTTAGGAAGAGTTCAGAAATCAATATTTGGTGGAATAACCCTGATTTTTCAATCATAGCTTTCATGCGTCTTGGCATGCTCTCCACTAGTCTTTCACATTGATGTTGGGTGACTTTATGCCACTCCTGGCGCAAATATTCAAGCAGCTCGGCTTTGTTTGATGGCTTGTGACCATCCATCTTCCTCTTGATCACATTCCAGAAGTTTTCAATGGGGTTCAGGTCTGGGGATTGGGCTGGCCATGACAGGGTCTTGATCTGGTGGTCCTCCATCCACACCTTGATTGACCTGGCTGTGTGGCATGGCGCATTGTCCTGCTGGAAAAAACAATCCTCAGAGTTGGGGAACAATGTCAGAGCAAAAGGAAGCAAGTTTTCTTCCAGGACAACCTTGTACGTGGCTTGACTCATGCGTCCTTCACAAAGACAAATCTGCCCGATTCCAGCCTTGCTGAAGCACCCCCAGATCATCACCGATCCTCCACCAAATTTCACAGTGGGTGCGAGACACTGTGGCTTGTAGGCCTCTCTAGGTCTCTGTCTAACCATTAGACGACCAGGTGTTGGGCAAAGCTGAAAATTGGACTCATCAGAGAAGATGACCTTACTCCAGTCCTCTACGGTCCAATCCTTATGGTCTTTTGCAAACCTCAGCCTGGCTCTTCTTTGCTTCTCATTGAAGGGCTTTTTTTCTAGCTTTGCACGACTTCAGCCCTGCCCCTAGGAGCCTGTTTCGAACCGTCCTCGCCATGCACTTCACCCCAGCTACCGTTTGCCTTTTTTTTTTTGTAGGTCACTTGATGTCATCCTATGGTTGTTGAGTGAAATTCGAATGAGTTGGCGGTCATCCCGGTCAGTAGAGAGTCGTTTTCGCCCTCTGCCGGTCTGTAGCTTTGTTGTCCCCAATGTCTGCTGCTTGACCTTGTTCTTATGAACCGCCGTCTTTTACATGTTAAGGATGGAAGCAACCTGACGCTCACTGTATCCCTCTGCCAGAATTGAACCCTTCTATTCCTCACTCAACTTTCCTTTTCAACTCTTTTGGCATGGTCAATAGTTATTGTTTGATTAATATTACTTTTGAGGTACTATTAGCACTGTTTTTGCCATCCAGCTGGTCCTATTGCAAGAGGATAGTGATGACCACAGCAGTGGTTTTTATACTTTTTCTCGTTAAATAAGATTTGGTTCATGTGATCACCTAATCAGTACCTAATTCAGTAGAATGAGGTGTGCCTGTGTTGGAATTCAACAGACACTGGAATGGCATGGCTGTCCATACATGTAGAGATGCTGATTTAAGAAAAAGTTGCAGTTGTCTAAATTTTTTCCACAGCTGTATATATTAAAAATTACATTTAGCAGATGCTTTGATCCAGCCTGCTTCCCCCTGAGTCACAGCCACAGCCTGCTTCCCCCCCACACAGCCAAAGAACAGAGGGGATGGACACATGCATGAAACTGAAGGCTGTGGTCCATACCTTCATAGGGGATGCCCATTCATTCGGTATGACTCTCACACCCTTCACTCTCCATCTCGATTGCTTTCACCCATCATATTATTGCAGATGGAGAGGAAATTGGTGAAAAAGTGGAAAGGAATACGTATATTATTATGATGATGATGGGATGCATGTCTGTCTCTAGGTGTGGTTCCTGAGATTATCGAAGAGACCCTCCCGCTGACTCCTGTAAAGTGCATGAGGAGACGTGTCTCTGACCCCGGGTCATCCTGAGATGTCTCGCTGACGGAAGAGACGACCCCCTCAGAAAGATCCTGGGTTTGGAGGCCTTCCCAGATGTTCAGCTGCTCAGGAGCAACACATTTTGCTCCGGTACATTTAAACATGAATTTGGGCTGATGTCAGATTTGTGTGCAGTATGACAGACCATGTTTCATCATCACCTTACTGAAATCAACTTCTTTACCCAGGGCAACCAGGCTCCAGTCCCTCATCCCTGTTGGCCAGGTCTCCCTCCACCCCAGTGATGACCGAGAGCTGCAGAGTACAGAGCAAAAGACTCAAAAAGGTAAAATGAGTTTTGTATGCTATTCTGTTTTCTACAAAGCGAAGGAAAACAGAGCAAGGTGGGGTCCTACCCCACTTATGATAGGTGGAACTATATTAACAGTTTTAATTCCCTTTCCATCTGTCCTCAGAACGGATTGGGAAATGTTGGGTGTTTTTTCTGCCAAAAGGCTGAAGGGAGGGGACTTTTTTGTCTTTTTTTAAATCTTTTTTTTGTCTTTTTTTTTAGTCATTTAGCAGAAGCTCTTATCCAGAGCGATTTACAGGAGCAATTAGGGTTAAGTGCCTTGCTCAAGGGCACATCGACAGATTTTTCACCTAGTCGTCGGCTCGGGGATTAGAACCAGCGACCTTTCGGTTACTGGCACAACTAAGCTACCTGCCGCCCTTGTCTGGGAAAGCTGAACCTAACCCCCTGGAAGAGCAGGAGACGCATCACTCTATAGTCTCATATCAAATGGATAGAGATCTATTCATCAGATGTAAAGGTCCATATGGCAGTTGTCATGGTTTTTATCATTTTGCATTGAAGATGAAAATGAACGCTTATCAATGTCAAATTGTAAAGACATTCTGTAATATCTTTGGAGCCTTTTTTTACTGAATATTTCATTTATTTCCCTGTAGCCCACCTGTCCAATATGTCTGAAACTAATTATTTTAATAAATAGGCCTATTTTTAATTAATTTTCTTTGGGTCAATTTTATGAAAATTGAGGACTATTTTAGCCACATGTTAGGCTATTGCAAGTCTGTCCGCTAATTTGTAAAGCACACGAAAACTAATATGGTACCCTGATGCGCTAAATTATCGACATTGTGTAATGTCATTAACGGAGATTTTGGGTGCCTGCCAATAGCCGGTAAGGTAATGGCGCGAGGACGCCATCCCGAGCTCTTCCACCCCGCATCCAGGATACACGGTAAGGAAACGATGCATTGTGAAGTCAGATAAATATCGTGTAGGCCTTTTCGTTATGTGTACCAGTAGCCTATGAGATTGAAAATATTGCATCTGAATATCGTTTGATATTGGTGTATCCTAAATCTTGCCTATGGATAACTATTGTGGCCTCTGACTTTAAACGATGGCGCACCTACATTTTGTTTTCAGAGAAAAGAGGCAAACGCACATGTATGCCTTAATCAAATAAACCTATATCTGGAATTATTGGGCTAATTAGGATAACGCGTGCTACATTTTGCCATGTATTGGGCTATATTAAATGTATTTATTTTCTAGACATGATTTACAAATAAACGCTTAGCTTACGTGGGTCATTTTAGATTTATTAAGATGGTTCTAGGTTATGCTCATGTCTACATTAATTTCCGCTGTTTTTACACATAAAGCGATTCCTATGGTCGAATGGTGTGTGGTATTATTAGCCTAGGAACAACAATATGGTGTACTTGCACCTGCCTTCTGTGAGTCAACTGTTACATATGGGTTAATGGTGGTTTCTGTCAGATGGACTTTCCTCTGAAATATAATTAGAACTACTTTTTCAGTTGCATTTTCCACTAAATGCATTAAACCTATAGCATATAGGCCTGTCACGCATTGTAAGCAACGTTATTTGTATCTCCCAATTGCGGACAGAGATGGGTTCGGCGGTCAGGTTGAGTAGAGCCGTGCTGCTGAGCGTTCTGGTGTGCATGGCGCGGCAGGCATCGGCCCGGAGCCTCCGCACGGCAGACCAGGTATCCGAGGTCGACATTCAACGCCTCTTACACGGCGTCATGGAGCAGCTGGGTATCGCTCCGCACAGGGTCGACTACCCCGCTCACCAGGCCACCAACATCGTGGGTCCCCAGAGTAGCCAGGGTGGGTCAATTATTTATTATAATCATCTAGGAGTTAAAGGAGTTGTCTGTTTTTAGTCATAGTGGTGTAATAGTTGGCTTGACATAAAGTATATCTCGAGCTTGTTGTTTTAACTTTACTTTTTGCTTCATTGACAAAAAAAAAAACAGTAACTGGATTGTATCTGACATAATTTGGTTGACTAATTGTTTGGTAATCTAACACTGTACTTATAAAACAGTATGACCTAGTGTAAAACCACCAGCCTAGTCCGTGTATATCTAGGGTGTCTCATGATTTGGCATGAGGGTTATGTCTAAGAAATATATTCTCCACTCTATTGCAGACTATTTTCGGTTGTGTAATTACACCACAGATCTGTCTTGTGCCCAGTTCATAGCCTTGGTTAAATTACTCGAAGCTGCATCCCATATGGTCAAACGTAGTGCGCAGAATAGGGTGCCATTTGGGACAAAGCTTTAATGGAATTTAATAACAGGTCTACATCAATGTGGACAGGCAAATAAACTATTTATTATACCAAGGCTCCTGCCAAATGTTCAAGAGTATTAAGGGGATATATTATGTGGGGGAGAGAGCATGCATGTCAGAGAAATAAAATGTTTCGCCAATGGTTATAGTTTCCAGTACCATTGTGGAGATTACATTTACATTTCTGGTATTGGGTTTCTGTACTTTGGATTGTGTTTGGAGATGGAACATGTACAGTGCATTCAGAAAGTATTCAGACCCCTTGACTTTTTCCACATTTTGGTGTGTTACAGCCTTATTCTAAAATTGATTAAATAAATTTTTTCCCTCATCAATCTGCACACAATACCCCATAATGACAAAGTGAAAACGGGCTTTTAGAATTTTTTGGAAAATGTATTAAAAACAAATGCCTTATTTACATAAGTATTCAGACCCTTTGCTACAATACTCGAAATTGAGCTCAGCTGCATCCTGTTTCCATTGATCATCCTTGATGTTTCTACAACTTGATTGGAGTCCACCTGTGGTAAATCCAATTGATTGGACATGATTTGGAAAGGCATACACCTGTCTATATAAGGTCCCACAGTTGACAGTGCATGTCAGACAAAACAAAGCCATGAGGTCGAAGAAATTGTCCATAGAGCGCCGGGACAGGATTGTGTCGAGGCACAGATCTGGGGAAGGGTACCAAAATAATTCTGCAGAATTGAAGGTCCCCAAGATCACAGTGGCCTCCATTCTTAAATGGAAGACGTTTAGAACCACCAAGACTCTTCCTAGAGCTGGTCGCCAGGCCAAACTGAGCAATCAGGGAGGTGACCAAGAACCCGATGGTCACTCTGACAGAGCTCCAGAGTTCATCTGTGGAAATGGGAGAACCTTCAGAAGGACAACCATCTCTACAGCACTCCACCAATCAGGCCTTTATGGTAGAGTGGCCAGACAGAAGCCACTCCTCAGTAAAAGGCACATGGCAGCCCGCTTGGAGTTTGCCAAAAGGCACCTAAAGACTCTCAGACCATGAGAAACAAGACTCTCTGGTCTGATGAAACCAAGATTGAACTCTTTGGCCTGAATGCCAAACGTCACGTCTGGAGGAAACCTGGCACCATCCCTATGGTGAAGCGTGGTGGCAGCATCATGCTGTGGGGATGTTTTTCAGCGGCAGGGACTGGGAGACTAGTCAGGATCAAGGTAAAGATGAATGGAGCAAAGTACAGAGAGAGCCTTGACAAAAACCTGCTTCAGAGCGCTCAGGACCTCAGTGGGGCGACGGTTCACCTTCCAACAGGACAATGACCCTAAGCACACAGCCAAGACAATGCAGGAGTGGCTTTGGGACAAGTCTCTGAATGTCTTTGAGTGGCCCAGCCAGAGCCCGGACTTGAGCCTGATCGAACATCTCTGGAGAGACATGAAAATAGCTGTGCAGCGACACTCCCCTTCCAACCTGACAGAGCTTGAGAGGATCTGCAGAGAAGAATGGGAGAAACTCCCAAATACAGGTGTGCCAAGCTTGTAGCGTCATACCCAAGAAGACTCGAGGCTGTAATTGCTGCCAAAGGTGCTTCAACAAAGTACTGAGTAAAGGGTCTGAATACTTATGTAAATGTGATATTTCTGTGTTTAAATTTGCAAAAATTGCTACAAACTTATTTTTGCTTTGTCATTATGGGGTATTGTGTGTAGATTGAGGGGGAAAAAAACAATCAATTTTAGAATAAGGCTGTAATGTAACAAAGTAGGAAAAAGTCAAGGGGTCTGAATACTTTCCGAATGCACTGTACAGAAATAACAACATAGATATCTGCGCTTAGTATTGTATTCTGATATTTATTTCACTTTTGACTTGCGCTAATCACATTTTAAAGAAGCAGTCCGGGATCTTAAGCACGACAAATTTGTAACATATTGTAGGAATTGGATTCGTAACATATCATACGAATTGTCTGACGTAGTACACAATTGGATGACATGGTACACATAAAACGGGGACCCAGTTTGGTTTGTGAGCACCACTTTCAAAACTACTGGCTGAAATTAAACAAGTTCTGGAGCATCACTTTTAAAATGTAAAAACTGTAGTAAACATGCCCCCTCTGTCTCTGTCCCTGTCAATGACTAAAAAATGTCCCAGTCATGTTCTGTTTCCTCCACTAGGTGGAGCCTATGAGGGGCTGCAGCACCTGGGTTCCTATGGAAACATCCCCAACATTGTAGCTGAGCTGACAGGGGACAACATCCCCAAAGAGTTCAGTGAGGACCATGGATACCCCAACCCTTCCAACCCATGTCCACTAGGAAAGACAGGTAAACAAATAGCTATATGTCTATTGTTTGTGACAAGGATTTCTCCTTTAGGCTTGGTGCCAAACGTTCAGTACCATGACAGTTGTCTTGCAAGACCACAAGACATCAAGTTGGCTAAAGCAGAAACAGGCTTGCACTCAGCGAGGCTTTATCCTTTGTTTCTGTGTGGTTGGTTCTCTGTCCCTGTCTGCTGTCGTAGCTTCAGATGTATCTGATGAATCCTACTACTTGTCCCTCACTCACTGTTTCCTGTTTGTGTTGCGTTGTTGCTGCAGAGATCAGTGGCGGTCAGTGCCGTTTAGGGAGGACCATTTTTTTTCTTCTCATGAGCATGGCCTTATTTCTATTACAGCATGTTGGATGACTGTCATTACATATTCCATTCACCCAGTTCAATGTAACATTGATAGGTTTAGGCTACTACATGATACTCAAATGTTCCCTATACCCATCATGAGGTTGCAACAACCCTATGAATGAAAGTTTACAACGTAGATGCACACAGGTCGAGAGAAAAATGTGAGATGACACACAGTGACACATGGACAGACAGTGACACATTCAATGCCGCCTTGCACACTCTTGCCTGCATCTAGCTGATCTAGGGTTGTAATCATTAGTCCAACAGTTGCAAACAAGAGTTTCTATTGGACAAATTCTGGTATTTTGGAACAACACATCAGCTGAATGTGACCAGGGGGAAAAAACCTTTCCAAGCCAAACCATGTCATAACCGCTACACACAGCCTACATCGTTGTCCCCATATTAGCTGAAGTAACGTCATAGTCAACATAGCTAATAGAACTAATGCGTTAGTAAACCCGCTACAATCATGCAGTAACGTTAGTGTACAGTCAGTAAGCAGTTACACTGGCGGGCCCCAGTGGCAAAAAATGTATAAAACCAAAAGCTTACCTTGACTTGTAAGAGTTCCAGTGTTGTGTTGGATAGTTATAGTGAGCTAGCTAACATAGCATCCCTCTGTTTGAGCCGGGTGTTTGAGTAACTAAACTAGCCAGCTGCATTTGCTAGCTAAGTAAGTGAAACTTATTTAGTTTTGAAGAAATTAATTTGTTAAACTATTCTTTCTCTCTTTGAGTCAACTACTCACCACCGTTTATGCAGTGCTAGCTAGCTGCAGCTTATGCTTTCAGTACTAGATTAATTCTCTGATCCTTTGATTGGGTGGACAACATGTCAGTTCATGCTTCAAGAGCTCTGATAGGTTGGAGGATGTCATACGGAAGTTACTTTGTAAGTCTATGGAAGGGGGTGAGAACCATGAGCCTGCTAGGTTTTGTATTGAGGTCAATGTACCAAGAGGAGGATGGAAGCTAGCTGTCCTCCGGATACACCATGGTGCTACCCTACAAAGTACTGTTGAGGCTACTGTAGACCTTCATTGCAAAACAGTGTGTTTTAATCAATTATTTGGTGACATTAATATATTTAGTATAGTTTTATCTAAAAAGGATAACTTTTTCAATGTTTTACCTTTTATTTTCTTCTGAAATTCACTGAGGAGGATGTTCCTCCTCTGAGGAGCCTCCACTGCTGCAGATTAATCTAGAGTTTGCTCATTTGGGCAAAAGTCCATCCTCCACCCTCTCTCCTCCGTGACCCGGAAACCGATGAGTGGTCGAGGCAATGTCAATTTGTTAGTAGGCGAACGGAAGTGTCCTCCCCTCCGCGACAACCACCTTTCATCGAGGATAGTCACACGTGTCCTATCTGAGTCCTTTGCGGAGGAGTTTTGAAATCTGCCACACCCACTTTGAATCAGCTGTTTTATCTGAAGAGAAAAGCATGCACACGTTTTATCGTTTTATCTATAAAATGTCTTGACCAACTAACTTCATTTGATTTAGACTTTACACATTTATTTTTGTGATCCACCCCTGTAAACTTAATTTTCCTGACGACGTGAGTGGTTGAGTCTCATTTCATACAAGTGCATTTTCATCCACATTCCCTCTCCTCGATTTACCTTCAACCTTTTTCAAAAGGAGGCGAGAGAGGACGCAGGAGTTGAGCAAATCCAATTTAGAAAAGGCCTATGACTATGTCCCGTGTGGCTCAGTTGGTAGAGCATGGCGCTTGCAACGCCAGGGTTGTGGGTTCGTTTCCCACGGGGGGCCAGTATGAAAAAATGTACGCACTCACTAACTGTAAGTCGCTCTGGATAAGAGCATCTGCTTAAATGACTCGAATGTAAAAAAAAAAAAAAATGTAATGTCCTCTCTTTGCTTGTACTTTAGCTACAGATGGTTGTGTGGAGAACGTCCCGGACACAGCAAAGTTAAGCAGAGAGTTCCAGAAGCATCAGCACCTGTTCAACCCAGAACATGACTACCCTGCTCTGGCTGCGTGGGTGAGTGATTAGGGCAAAATTGCCTTCAGTGTAGGGGCAACTTCACCCTACCCCACTAGGCTTGAGTGGTTACAACAGAGCTGTGCCCCTGTACTATTGAATAAGTCCATCTCATCACCCTCTTTTTTTTTTTTTTTTTTTTTGGAAATGTTTTCCCGTCCATCTGTGGACACTAGACAAGTCGACCATGGAAATGTCTTTGTTCCCCGAAAAGGCTCAAGCTCTGTGTTTTATGATCAAAGAAAAGCAATTTTGCTGTAAAACAATAGAAACATCATTCTTTGTCCCTAAACTTACTTTGTCAGTTCAGAATAAGGAGCTGTTGTACCAGAAACGGAAGGACCCAAAATAAGTCAAACAGTTATAACCGCTTCTTCTCTGTTTTTCCCTCCAGATTTTTTTTTAGTTTGTAAGCTTTTGTAGAAATTGTCTCTGTGCGACCAAACCACATCACCACCATTGAGCTGTTGTACCCTGAAGGAGATGATGCACTTTTAAACTCACATTGCTGGATTAAGTTGCATGTTGACCGACAATGTCCATTTTTAATCATGACTACTGAGGTCTTTCTTTTTCCTGAGCCAATGATCTGGAACACCTATAGTTTCTTTTTATCAACACCTTTTTTTTCAAGACGAATGTCATTAAGATTTTATTTTTAACCCCAGCACCACAACAAAATGCCATATTTTCTCTCAAAAAAAAGAAATTGTCCCTCTTTCTTTTATTCCAGAGTGTCAATAACCCCTACCTGATGGGTCAGAGGCTGGACAGCGTTGTGGCCAAGAAGTCTGTTCCCTACTACCCAGAAGAGGAGGAAGACTATAGAACATCCACCTAAACACATACTGCTGTTCTAACATTACTGCCCCAACATGTTCTCGTCACATATCTCAAACTAAAGTATATTAAAAATGTCATCACAAGTATTGGGAGTGTTCTCTTAAGTGTTACTTTTTCACCATGATGTCATTTGTTGAACTACGTAGCCTACTAGCAATGTTAGATACAGTAACAGAGAGGTATATTGATATGCACAACTTGTGTAAGAAATTATATATCATTATACTCTGCTGTTTTCAATCAATAATTGATCTATCAAAATTATTGTTACTCAGTTTGAGTTATTTTTGTGCCTGTGGTTCACTGTCATACAATTAAATAATATTAGAGGGGCCTATGAAGCTGAAATGTGTCTGTTTTTATCAAACCAAAATATGCTGTTGATATTTGATACAATATTTAATCAAGTTGCTATTGTTTTGCTTTTTTGGCTCAAGCCATAACTAAGTCTCTTGCTGTGTTTTTTCTGATCATTTTGTGTTAATATAAAACAAATGATTTCCTCTGCAAGTTTCCCAGGCTTTAGTCAGTTTTTTGTAGGATCTATCAATCAGAGAGGATGAGGGGCGTTGGAGGGGGCGGGTACATCCCGCTACTGTACTTAAATCTGAGACAGTACAGCTAGACAGCAGTTTGTTTTGTCTCTTCCAAGAAGAGATCATACAGGAATACTTCTATTTAAGCAATATCTTAATCCCGCAGCGAATCGACCGTTTATTCCAGACATTTCAGTCTAAACCAGTAGTGCATCTGTCGAGTTTGTGTAGGACACGGGTGAGTCAATCTAGCTATTCATCATTCTTGCTCTACCAAATACTATGTTGAAATTATCCTATTAGTCTGGTAACTGTACGCTATAACCACGTGGAAATGCATTAAGTATTTGGTATGACATTACTGCGTAAATCTTGCGTAAAAGTTATGCGTAATTTGTTCTCTGTTGATTTCCATGACTGATTTAAATGTAATCATTTAATAATATTCTATAGATAAGGATGAAGACGTCAACAGTCTTTGCCTCGGCCATGGTGTTGGGGCTCTTCTGTCCGCCAAGGAGCGCAGCGGTAGGTGGCTTCCAGGGCGCCTTTCAGCATCCATATAAATACAATTCCAGCCCCAACGAGTCTGAGCGCTCACCGCAGCAGCCACCACAGAACGGATTTGTCTCCCGACAAATGGGGCCAGTAACCGCCAACGACGAAGTTCTAGAATCCAGCCAAGAAGCCCTACACGTCACGGAGCGCCGGTACCTCAAACTTGACTGGTGCAAGACGCAGCCGCTGAAACAGACGATCCACGAGGAAGGATGCCTCAGCCGCACTATAATCAATCGCTTCTGTTACGGGCAGTGTAACTCCTTCTACATCCCGCGACACATCTACGAAGATGACGGTGCTTTCCAATCGTGTTCCACCTGTAAGCCGAAAACATTTACCACCGTCACCTATACCCTCATATGTCCCGGCCAGTCACCCAGCACCCGAAAGAAACGCGTCCAGCGTGTAAAGACCTGCCGCTGCGCTTCCATAGACCTGGATTAGACCTAGTTAAAGCCATAGATGGACACAGTCTCTGTTGGTTTGCTATCCACGGGAATAATTCAAATGTATAGAGGGACAGACAAAATGCATACAATTAAACGTGCTTCCGTTGCAAAAACCGAATATGCATGAGGGAGAAAATGTCCAATCTTAATCCTAAAAGGGGAGACCAAAACACAAAGAAACCAAGGGATGGAACTCTTCAAAACCATTCCAAAACCCTAAACTGGTAGCTATGCCAACCCCAACAGACTCCCCAGTGTAATGTATGGGACTATAATGACTGGTTTGGCATGACTGGTTTGGCATACTTGTAAATGGCTTATAGCTTCGAGCGTAATTGTTTTTTAATGATATTGCTGGCTTGTGCCTAATACAAATATAACAATATCACTGTGGAAACCAGAATTTGTCCATGTTTGGCATTTCAAATTAGGCGAAAAAGCCACACAGTGTTCGAATTTGACATAGACAATTTTTGTAAACCGTTATGAGAGCACATATCGTTTCCACTGTGTGGAATATGAGTTGGTGGATGCGCTCACTTCAGGAGCGCTAGAGGAGTGTGGTGTCAATGAATATTGGCTTTTCTTTTTAAACTTGCACTGTTAGACGTCACTTAATGTTCTTGCTATTGTATTATTCATGTATATAAAGTGGTTGGTGAATAAACTCATATTTGTACACGTTGTTGAACTGGGTTGGGTTGTTGGGGAGTTGTAATAACAGACTGCTGGTAAGATACAGTACATGTATTATGTTTACATTAATATGATTGACAGTGGATATGTAAGATGCTAAACTTATAAATGTATTATAAAACACAGAAACAAAACTTTTGATATTGAATATCAGAAAACAAACAGATAGACAACTGAATTTCAAATCTACATGATCAAATCTATATTTCATAGAAAAAGTTTACCATACAATCTAGATACATTGTCTTATTAATTTGACCAGTTATTAATCAGTTATTATATTATTTATTTTTTACAGGAAAGTGCTAGGATGATGTGCAGAATCAAAAAATGAACATGAAAATATTTATCTTATTGCCAGTATCCCGTTGGTCAGTGAATGCATCTGCAACTTTGTGACCTCCGAACCATAGTATGAGGGGTTTCCTCTAGTGTCCAGCGAGGGCAAGTTCAAAGGGCATCGAGGACAGTACAGTGTTCCAGGCTTGGGCCATAAGAGGGTGGGCAGGAGCAGAGACTGGTATGATCCTGATCACCCTGTGAGGTGACGGGGTGGTGACGGGGTGGTGACGGGGTGGTGACGGGAGAAGGTGGGAGAAGTCCCCACTCCCCTCACACATCAACTCCCCTCACACATCCACTCATCACTCTTGTCATCAATGTCATCTCCTCTCTGTCCTGTTCTGCCTCTCAGCTTGTGGCCACCATGTTTGCTTCCTTCTGGCGCAGTCTCTCTTTCTGTCAGGGCAGAGAAAAGGGGTTACTGTTTTCCATTAGGGACAGTAAGCAAACTGTCTCCACATACTGTACTGGCTTTTGAGGCCAAGTAAGTCAATAAGTAAGCTTTGTCCAAGTAAGTCGTTAAGTAAGCCTTGTCCAAGTAAGTCATAAGTAAGCCTTGTCCGAGCCAGAACAGCCCATAGGGGGAGGAGCCTATCACACTTTTGAGGCCCAGTCGAAGAGTTATGCGTGGAACAGTAATTCAATTATGCAATCAAAACCAGGTTCCTGGGATAGATCAAAAATATAATATTTCCTGTAAACACTGTTTTGTTGAGCCTGAATCCAAACCTATAAAATGGATGATGCTTTTAACTTAACCCCAAAACCTGGTTAGCATGATAGATGATTGATTATGATCCTATCTATTGGACTGTGCAGTGCTGTGGTACTGTTGCTTTAAACCCATAGAATTACAGTTTAGTCAGCCACCAATTGTGCAAGTTCTCCCACTTAAAAAGATGAGAGAGGCCTGTAATTTTCATCATAGGTACACGTCAACTATGACAGACAAAATGAGATTTTTTTTCTCCAGAAAATCACATTGTAGGATTTTTAATGAATTTATTTGCAAATTATGGTGGAAAATAAGTATTTGGTCAATAACAAACGTTTCTCAATACTTTGTTATATACCCTTTGTTGGCAATGACACAGGTCAAACGTTTTCTGTAAGTCTTCACAAGGTTTTCACACACTGTTGCTGGTATTTTGGCCCATTCCTCCATGCAGATCTCCTCTAGAGCAGTGATGTTTTGGGGCTGTTGCTGGGCAACACGGACTTTCAACTCCCTCCAAAGATTTTCTAAGGGGTTGAGATCTGGAGACTGGCTAGGCCACTCCAGGACCTTGAAATGCTTCTTACGAAGCCACTCCTTCGTTGCCCGGGCGGTGTGTTTGGGATCATTGTCATGCTGAAAGACCCAGCCACGTTTCATCTTCAATGCCCTTGCTGATGGAAGGAGGTTTTCACTCAAAATCTCACGATACATGGCCCCATTCATTCTTTCCTTTACAGGGATCAGTCGTCCTGGTCCCTTTGTAGAAAAACAGCCCCAAAGCATGATGTTTCCACCCCCATGCTTCACAGTAGGTATGGTGTTCTTTGGCTGCAACTCAGCATTCTTTGTCCTCCAAACACGACGAGTTGAGTTTTCACCAAAAAGTTCTATTTTGGTTTCATCTGACCAGATGACATTCTCCCAATCCTCTTCTGGATCATCCAAATGCACTCTAGCAAACTTCAGACGGGCCTGGACATGTACTGGCTTAAGCATGGGGACACGTCTGGCACTACAGGATTTGAGTCCCTGGCGGCGTAGTGTGTTACTGATGGTAGGCTTTGTTACTTTGGTCCCAGCTCTCTGCAGGTCATTCACTAGGTCCCCCCGTGTGGTTCTGGGATTTTTGCTCACCGTTCTTGTGATCATTTTGACCCCACGGGGTGAGATCTTGCGTGGAGCCCCAGATCGAGCGAGATTATCAGTGGTCTTGTATGTCTTCCATTTCCTAATAATTGCTCCAACAGTTGATTTCTTCAAACCAAGCTGCTTACCTATTGCAGATTCAGTCTTCCCAGCCTGGTGCAGGTCTACAATTTTGTTTCTGGTGTCCTTTGACAGCTCTTTGGTCTTGGCCATAGTGGAGTTTGGAGTGTGACTGTTTGAGGTTGTGGACAGGTGTCTTTTATACTGATAACAAGTTCAAACAGGTGCCATTAATACAGGTAACGAGTGGAGGACAGAGGAGCCTCTTAAAGAATAAGTTACTGTGAGAGCCAGAAATCTTGCTTGTTTGTAGGTGACCAAATACTTATTTTCCACCATAATTTGCAAATAAATTCATAAAAAATCCTACAATGTGATTTTCTGGAAAAAATGTGTACCTATGATGAAAATTACAGGCCTCTCTCATCTTTTTAAGTGGGAGAACTTGCACAATTGGTGGCTGACTAAATACTTTTTTTTCCCCACTGTACATAACTGTAATAATCTCTATATACACTGAGTGTACAAAACATTAAGGACACCTGTTAAATCCACTTCAATCAGTGTAGATGAAGGGGAGGAGACAGGTTAAAGATGTTTAAACCTTGAGACAATTGAGACATGGATTGTGTATGTGTGCCATTCAGATGGTGAATGGGCAAGATAAAAGATTTAAGTGCCTTTGAACGGGGTATGGTAGTAGGTGCCAGGCGCACCGGTTTGTGTCGAGCTGCAACGCTGATGGGTTTTTCACGCTCAACAGTTTCCCATGTGTATCAAGAATGATCCACCACCCAAAGGACATCCAGCCAACTTCACACAACTGTGGGAAGCATTGCAGTCAACATGGGCCAGCATCCCTGTGGAACGCTTTCAACACCTTGTAGAGTCCATGCCCTGACTAATTGAGGCTGTTCTGAGTGTAAAAGGGTGTGTAACTCAAAATATTTATAAATAAATAATTATTTTTACTGCTCTAATTGCGTTGGTATCATTGGAATGTGATACAAAACGAGGCAAAGGTTGTTTTAGGACCATGCGGACGCCTCCGAGCGGTCGTGTAGGCTGTTTAGAGTGTTACTCTGACCGAATAAAAAAATATAACAAAAATATAAAAGATAATGTCCCCCCCCCCCCCCCCCCCAATTCTAAAACCAAAGTTACGCCCCTGACTGTATGTCTATCTTAAGTTGAAGTTGTGCTGTTCTCACCAGACTGTTAGGGTTGATCTTCCTAGTCTCCACCTTCTTGTCTGCTGTAATCTTCTTCACTGACAGCTGAGCCTCTTTCAGTCTGGGAGAAGGACAGGAGGATGGGAAAAGAGCAGGGTACAGGTTCACATCAGTTTCATAGTGAGAGTACTGATCTAGGATCAGGCCCCCACTGCCCATGTAATCTTAGGCACTGTGATCTAAACTGATCCTAAATCAGAACAGACGCTTGATACGTACGGCATCCAGAAGACAAGTAAACGTCAGCCTCAGACCCAGTAACATACAGGAGAACCGACAGACGTTCTAGATAGAACGTTCTAGATAGAACAATGTTTCTCACACATGTTCAGACAGACAGTCTGGTCCTGTGAAGGTCAGTTGGTAGAGCATGGCGCTTGCAACGCCAGGGTTGTGGGTTTGATTCCCACGGGGGACCAGCATGATGAAAATCTATGCACTCACTACTTTACCTCGCTCTGGATAAGAGCCTCTGCTAAATGACTCAAATATCCGTGGACCGGCAGCGTCTCTGTTGGATGTCTCACATCTTAGATCGCTATCTTTCTGATTTAGTCAATTCTCAAGGGGATATAGATATATAAGCAAAACAATACATAGTCAAATCCGAGTAATAAATATTGCATGCCACTTAGATGTTTTTATCCAGTGACTTACAGTGAATGCATATGTTTTTAGTATGTGTAAGTGATTAAATTATTCTACCCTAGGAGCTACAGTAGTTCACTGTGTTTGTAGCCGTAACTGACCAGGGTTCGAACCCGGGTCTTCTGAATGCCACAAGACTGAGCTTGGGAAGCTAATGCAAGTCATCAGTTCTCAGGCAAGGTTACATCACACAAGCGTGGTTCCGAATGACCTCTTTTACGCGCACGCACGCACGCACGCACGCACGTACGCACACACACACACACACACACACACACACACACACACACACACACACACACACACACACACACACACACACACACACACACACCTCTCTTTAGAGATATTCTTGTTCTCTCTCCTCCACCTGGTCTTGAAGTCGGTACAGAACTCAAACCACAGCATGAAGAAGTGACCTGTCGCCACCTCGGTATCTCCTGTCTTCGGCTTCAGCCCTAAGAACGTCACCAGCTCATGGAAGCTGAGGAACGGACAGGGACGGGGAAGATGGTGTTAAAACTTCAGGACCATTGAATCTCTTGTATAATCATTGAATCTCTTGTATAATCATTGAATTACTGTCGACGGCACCTTGTGGAACTCTTCAATGGAACTTACATTGTTATACTATAAAGAAGGTGTGTAAGAGTAGAAAGAGAGAGTCGAGGTGTGTTTTCAAACCTTTTTTGTGCAAACATCAACTGGGCATCCACTTCATCTTGTTCTTTATGCGCTGCAAATGAAATATACACATTTAAATGAACATAATCTTCTTTCCTCTACATTCACCAGCATGAAAAGACAAGCACTGAGAACCCCTTGTACTGTACAATGGTCTTGACAAATGCAAGTGAAAAGGAGCCAGCCAGACAACCTTTTTCTTCTTAAGAACACACATTTTACACGCAATTCTCCCACAAAAGGGGCTGTTTTGCTGCCACTTTCCAATTTGGTTATGTCTTTATCATAACAAACCTGTCCTTCTGTGTTTCTGTAATGGTCTGTGATTTTATTTTAATACAAAGACTTCTTAGAGCCATCTCTCTCTCTCTCTCTCTCTCTTTCTCTCTCTCTCTCTCTCTCTCTCTCTCTCTCTCTCTGTCTCTCTCTGTCTGCATCTCGGTCTCATCTCTCGCTCATCTCTCTCTCCTCTCTCTCTGTTCTATCTCTATCTCTCGCTCTCTCTCGCTCGCTCTCGTCTCTCTCTCTCTCTCTCTCTCTCTCTCTCGATCATCCTCTCTCTCTTATCCTCTCTCCCGTACTCCTCTCCTCTCCTCCTCTCTCTCTCCCACCGAAACGTTCCTCCTGTCTGTCCCAGTACACACTGCCTGATCCCTATCTGTGTGTCTAGCCTCTAAACTTCACCGTAAGCTGTCTATCTTCCCCTCAGACCCTTATCTAGACCCTAAAAAAAAAAAGATAAGAAATTTGCCATGGCAACAGGATGTACGCGTCCTTATCTGAGAGCTAGAGACAACTGAGTAATTGTGGTAGGAGCAACGTGAAGAGGGAGAGAGAGAGAGGAGAGAGAGAGAGAGAGAGAGAGAGAGAGAGAGAGAGAGAGAGAGAGAGAGAGAGAGAGGAGAGAGAGAGAGAGAGAGAGAGAGAGAGAGAATAGATGGACAAGGATAACCCATGGACACTGGGAGGCATATTGAGATGCTGGCTTTGTGGAGCACCTTGGTACAGGAGGCCATACTGTTTATGAAGAAGGCCTTGTAAAATTGAAGTTTAAGAAGATAAGAAGTTGACTGAACAAACTATTGTGGAAAGTTGGTTGGTAGTTCAAGGCTAAGAGATGTTCCATGATTTACATGTACCTTTTGGACATCTCTATTGTTGTGTCAATATATACTACTAACTACTGTTGTAGTGTCACTATACTACTAACTACTGTTGTTGTGTCACTATACTACTAACTACTGTTGTTGTGTCACTATATACTACTAACTACTGTTGTTGTGTCACTATACTACTAACTACTGTTGTTGTGTCACTATACTACTAACTACTGTTGTTGTGTCACTATACTACTAATTACTGTTGTTGTGTCACTATACTACTAACTACTGTTGTTGTGTCACTATACTACTAACTACTGTTGTTGTGTCACTATACTACTAACTACTGTTGTTGTGTCACTATACTACTAACTACTGTTGTTGTGTCACTATACTACTAACTACTGTTGTTGTGTCACTATACTACTAACTACTGTTGTTGTGTCAATATATACTACTAACTACTGTTGTTGTGTCACTATACTACTAATTACTGTTGTTGTGTCACTATACTACTAACTACTGTTGTTGTGTCACTATACTACGAACTACTGGGGACTATTGTTGTTGTGTCACTATACTACTAACTACTGTTGTTGTGTCACTATACTACTAACTACTGTTGTTGTGTCACTATACTACTAACTACTGTTGTTGTGTCACTATACTACTAATTACTGTTGTTGTGTCACTATACTACTAACTACTGTTGTTGTGTCACTATACTACTAACTACTGTTGTTGTGTCACTATACTACTAACTACTGTTGTTGTGTCACTATACTACTAACTACTGTTGTTGTGTCACTATACTACTAACTACTGGGGACTATTGTTGTTGTGTCACTATACTACTAACTACTGTTGTTGTGTCACTATACTACTAACTACTGTTGTTGTGTCACTATACTACTAACTACTGTTGTTGTGTCACTATACTACTAACTACTGGGGACTATTGTTGTTGTGTCACTATACTACTAACTACTGTTGTTGTGTCACTATACTACTAACTACTGTTGTTGTGTCACTATATACTACTAACTAGTGTTGTTGTGTCACTATACTACTAACTACTGTTGTTCTGTCACTATACTACTAACTACTGTTGTTGTGTCACTATACTACTAACTACTGTTGTTGTGTCACTATATACTACTAACTAGTGTTGTTCTGTCACTATACTACTAACTACTGTTGTTCTGTCACTATACTACTAACTACTGTTGTTGTGTCACTATACTACTAACTACTGTTGTTCTGTCACTATACTACTAACTACTGTTGTTCTGTCACTATACTACTAACTACTGTTGTTGTGTCACTATACTACTAACTACTGTTGTAGTGTCACTATACTACTAACTACTGTTGTTGTGTCACTATACTACTAACTACTGTTGTAGTGTCACTATACTACTAACTACTGTTGTTGTGTCACTATACTACTAACTACTGTTGTTGTGTCACTATACTACTAACTACTGTTGTTGTGTCACTATACTACTAACTAGTGTTGTTGTGTCACTATACTACTAACTAGTGTTGTTGTGTCACTATACTACTAACTACTGTTGTTGTGTCACTATACTACTAACTAGTGATGTTGTGTCACTATACTACTAACTACTGTTGTTGTGTCACTATACTACTAACTACTGTTGTTGTGTCACTATACTACTAACTACTGTTGTTGTGTCACTATACTACTAACTACTGTTGTTGTGTCACTATACTACTAACTACTGTTGTTGTGTCACTATATACTACTAACTACTGTTGTTGTGTCACTATACTACTAACTAGTGTTGTTGTGTCACTATACTACTAATTACTGTTGTTGTGTCACTATATACTACTAACTACTGTTGTTGTGTCACTATACTACTAACTACTGTTGTTGTGTCACTATACTACTAACTACTGTTGTTGTGTCACTATACTACTAACTACTGTTGTTGTGTCACTATACTACTAATTACTGTTGTTGTGTCACTATACTACTAACTACTGTTGTTGTGTCACTATACTACTAACTACAAGGGACTACTGTTGTCCTCATTATTGCCCAGTGCTATAGGCTACTCACCATTCAGAACGAACGCCTCCATCTTGTCTTTAAACGGCTGGAGGTGTTCGTCTGGAGAGCTGGAGCACACCTTCTGAACACCTTTCTCACACACTGGAAAAACAGGAAAACATACAGTACCAGTCAAAAGATTGGACACACCTACTCATTCAAGGGTTTTTCTTTATTTTTACTATTTTTTACATTGAAGAATAATAGTGAAGACATCAAAACTATGAAATAACACATATGGAATCATGTAGTAACCAAAAAAGTATTAAACAAATATATTTTATATTTGAGATTCTTCAAATAGCCACCAGTTGCCTTGATGACAGCTTTTCACACTCTTGGCATTCTCTCAACCAGCTTCACCTGGAATGCTTTTCCAACAGTCTTGAAGGAGTTTCCACATATACTGAGCACTTGTTGGCTGCTTTTCCTTCACTCTGCTATCCAAATCATCCCAAACCATCTCAATTGGGTTGAGGTCGGGGGATTGTCGAGGCCAGGTCATCTGATGCAGCACTCCATTACTCTCCTTCTTGGTCAAATAGCCCTTACACAGCCTGGAGGTGTGTTGGGACATTGTCCTGTTGAAAAACAAATGATAGTCCCACTAAGCCCAAACCAGATGGTATGGCGTATCGCTGCAGAATGTTGTGGTAGCCATGCTGGTTAAGTGTGCCTTGAATTCTAAATAAATCACAGACAGTGTCCCCAGCAAAGCACCCCACACCATAACACCTCCTCCTCCATGCTTTACAGTGGGATCTACACATGCAGAGATCATCCGTTCACCCACACCCCGTCTCACAAAGACACGGCGGTTGGAACCAAAAATCTCACATTTGGACTCCAGATGTCCATTGCTTGTGTTTCTTGGCCCAAGCAGGTCTCTTCTTCTTCTTAGTGTCCTTTAGTAGGGGTTTCTTTGTAGCAATTCGACCATGAGGGCCTGATTCACACAGTCCCCTCTGAACAGTTGATGTTGAGATGTGTATGTTACTTGAACTCT